CAACAACCATAAATAAAACAAATATATAATCATAAAATTTGGAGCTGCTACAAGGCAACATTGAGCTCTAAAGTGAAATAATTGTCTGTATTTGTGTGTGTGTGTGTGTGTGTGTGTGTGTGTGTGTGAGTGTGTGTGTGTGTTTTGAGGAGGCTGGGAGACTAGTTAGCCAAGTTGGCCAGAGAAAAGCTCTGTAAAGGAAGCAGTTCACCTGAGATCTAAAGGATGAACTGTACTCAGCCGTGCCCAACATGGGAAGAATATTCTCTGAAGAATGAAAACATGGACCAAGATTCCAGGATATAAATAAACTTGTTTTGTTCAAGGGATGGAGGAGCCAATGTGGCTGGAGCAGAGGTGGGGCACAGGGGTGGTAGATGTGCGGAACCTCAAGTGGGACCTCAAGGGTCAGGAAGAGGCCAGGTCACAGGGAGTCTGTAGGCCACAGCAGGGAATTTGGATTTCATTTTAAGTGAAATTCACGGGCTGGGGACATAGCTCAGTGGTATAGTGTTTGCCTAGCATTCTCAAAGGCCTAGCTTTGATCCCCACCCGTTCAAAACCAAAGAAACCCTAATGAAATAAATGAGGGAGTTTATGAAGTAAATACTCCATCCCCAGAAGAGAAATCAGTGGTACAAATTTTAATGTAATTGAACTTGGATATGACTCACTATTCCTATTATTAGATCATGTGAAAATATATCTTATTCTTGCCAAGCATGATGGCGCATGCTTGTAACCCCAGCTATTTGGGAGGTTGAGGCAGGAGGATTGCAAGTTGAAGGCTAGCCTCAGCAACTTAGTGTAAGCCCCTGTTTCAAAATAAAAAATAAGAAAGATTGGGGAAATAGCTCAATGGCAAAATTTCCCCCTCCCCCACAATCTCCAAAGGAGAAAAGAATGAAGAAAGGAAATAAATATATCCTACCTTTATGTTTAGGTTCATTGCTAGAATGTACAATTCACTTTTCTCTTCTTGGCCATTTTCCTGTGGCTGTGATAGGGGGATATCTGATCACCAGAAAGCTCTTGAGGAAAGGAAACTAGTTGGCAAATCCAGAAGAATCTGATTCCCAGGCATAGATTACACTCCTGTAATCTGTTACTTGAGAGGCTGAGGCAGAAGGATTGCAAATTTGAGACCAGCCTAGGCAACTTAGATCCTGTCTTAAAATAAAAAGGGCCAGGGACCCAGAGATGTAACTCAGTGGCAGAGCATTTGTCTAGCATGCACAAGGTGCTGGGTTCAATCCCCTATACCAAAATGAAAAAGTCGAGAGAGAAGGACTCTATCATTCCTTACACCCTGGATCTGTCTATCATCTCACTGTCCAAAGAGCTAGGAGCCAGAGATGCCCACTAAGATGAGTAACAAGTAAGATGTGTTCTTTGTCTCTGTTCTCCACTCCCTTATAGCAAGCATTCTGTGGGGTCACGGCCCCCAGATAAATTACTTGCATTCAAATCCATATATTCTGGGCTGCTTCTGGGGAAACCTGAACATTAGCTTAACTTTAAACAAAGAAGAAAAGAAAGTCACTGAGTTTTCTGGCACCCATTGACACCAGGTTTCCTTCCTGAGTCATAACACTAGGTTACACAGCCTGACAGATTCCATTGATAGCAGGTGAAACTAAATGTGAAGATTGAGAAGGTCAGATTTTAAGAAAAAAAACATTCTGATATGCTCTAAATAGATGTGATTTAGATAAGCTTTAGTGGGAAAGGGACAAAAATACTAATGGGACAGTTCAAAAGGAAATGTGTGTCACAAAACCGTAATCTATGACTTGTGGTAATAAATCAGTCAGAAGTTCCTTCCTAGCCCCTAACCTCTGTGACTAAAGACCTCTTGTGACCTACCACAGCTTGCAGTCCAAATAATCAAAAGTTCACAAGAGAATCACGGATAGAAGATTTGGTGTAGAAGAGAAATAAGTACCTGAGATAACCTTACTTTTTTTACAATGCAAAAATATTTTGTGCAATACGTTTTTATTTCTATGATTCTGTGTGAATTTTTTCCCATTTTGTTTTACAATGAAACCATTTCGATGTTGTTGTCTTGGACCCTAGAACTTTCTGATTGTCTTTATGGGCTTTTATTTTAATTTTTTGAGATTGGGTATCCCTATGTTGCCCAGATTCATCTCAAACCTCCTGAGCTCAAGTGATCCTCCTGCCTCAGCCTCAGGTAGCTGGGACTTGAACCACAGTTCCCTGCTCTTTACGGAGCTTTAAAAGAGATAAATTGGAAAAATAGGAAATAGCATTATGCCAAGGAAGAACCTTAATCAACAGGAATTGTTATAATGATGCAATGATTCCGTGTTTTTTTAGGGCTTCAATTCTGGGACCAAACCAAATAAAATAAATAAATATTGGACATGAGACACAAATGTTGAAATCCTAAGAGGCTAAATTCAGTCAGAATACTCACCCCACTATCATCTTTTGCCAAACGGCTAGAGACTAAGTCAAGGCCATATTACCAAATTCTGAGTTAAGGCTGTGGCAAAACTTTATTTTATAGTGATGCCAAATATTAATATTTAAAATAAATGCATTTTAAAAATACAAATATAATACCAGGTGTGATGGCATTATACACCTATAATCCCAGCGACTCCAGAAGTTGAGACAGGAGGATTACACGTTAGAAGCCAGCCTCAGAAATTTAGGGAGGTCCTAAGCAATTTAGAAAGACTCTGTCTCAAAATAAAAAATAAAAAGGGCTGACGATGTAGTTTACTGGCAAAGCACCCATGAGTTCAACCTCCAGATCCCCACTATTTTATATATATTGTTGTTGTGTTGTTTATCCTCGTGTCCAACATTTCAGGACATCAGGACATCAGGGCAGGACTACCTAGACTTAGGGAGGAAGTGGGAGCACAGCAATGGTGAGGTAAGGACAAAAAATGTCCTTCTTAATCAGTACCCAGCCTAGGGGTCTCTTTAAATGTCTTCTTGTCCAAGGGTTTCAATGAAATGGTGTCATGAAAATTAAAAGGGTGGGGTCAATAAAAGATGACCACAGCAGGGAAGTGACTTGTTAGTGATTTTCCTAAGGATGTAGATACATGGTGGATATTGGGGATGAATACTAATATGGCTCATTCTTGCTTCTGTAGATAGTTGACTTGATACCAATGGGCATGTATTTATGTATTGAGTTACTGGGGTTTGAACCCAGGGGCATTTTACCACTGAGCTCTATGCCCAGCCCCACTTTTTTTTTTTTTTTGAAACAAAGTCTAAGTTTCTTAGTCTGGACTGGAACTTTCCATCCTCCTGCTTCAGCTTCCCAAGTGGCTGGGATTATAGGTGTGTGCCACCATGCCAAGCTATCTATGAGTTTTTAGATGATAATGAAATTATGTTTTAAAATAGCATTAAAACACTTGAATTACTAATAGATGTTTATGTTGGGAGAACTTCTTTCACATTAGGGGTAAATATGTGTTGACAAATATGTCCTCCCCAACTATGAACCTTAAACTAATCTGTTGAAAGGCAAAATAAGTTTTCACATATGAACTGCTAGAAGTCCAAATTAAGGTTTCAAAGAAGTCAGAGTGTATGAACTTGAAATATAACAGTGGTAGGGAAAATGGGTTTCACTTTGTGGAGAGATTTGGCATCTACTTCAGGGCACATCTGTCTTTTTTTTTTTTCCTTATATTTCATTTCAAGTCCTGAAATAACTCAATTTAAAAACTCATTGCCGTCTTTTAAAAAGACTCATTAGAATTTTCAATGGGAAAGTTAAATGTGAAACCAATTGATTTTAAAGTCATGGAGAGGAAATTGGAATTTTAAATTCTGTCTTCAGATTTGGTTAGTGAACTTGAGAACAAAATAAAAGAGACTGGTTTGATTTGTTTATTTAGGTGAATTCTAAAACATGTCATTGGACTCCAGGGAACAGCCTAACACATGGCTGGCTGCTACAGGCCAGCAGGGCCCTGAATTCTACCAAATGCTTGAGAAACACAACTAATGGAAAGAACTAGCCTTTAGGGCTAAGTCAAGACTGACTGTACCTCTCTGTGAACGACTGTGAATACTCTACTTCTCTGGGTCTTGGTTACTCATCTCCAAACTCCAGCTCTCACATAAGAGTCTGTGAGCTATTGGGGGAGGCGGGGTTCCATCTGAGAAAGTGAGAGAAGTCTTAAATTATAGAGGTCCCTGTGTGTGGCCTTAAGCCTTGTATCTTATGGAGACACATTTGCAGAGAAGAACTGACATGGCTAAGTATTCAGATTATTGGTAAGTAAAGTGCCTCTTATTTTTATACTCCTCCCCATGTTTTCTATAAAGAATATGTTTTATTATTATACTAAAATGTCCAGGAATGTGGGGGTGGAGAAAGGATGACTACCGGTACAGGGGTACAGTTAGGAGAAATAATTTTTAATGTTCTGTAGCACACAGTAGGGCAACTAAGGTTGGCAATAATTAATCACATATTTCAATGAAGGTAATCAAGAGGATTTTGAATATTCCCAAGACAAAGAAATGACAAATGTGTCAGGTGATGTATCTGTCAATTACCCAGATGTGATCATCACATCTTATCTAATACATCACTGCGATATCACACTGTACCTTATAATTATGTGCAAGTGAAATGATCTGAAAAGGGGAAAATGTTACAGGCAGGGACATATAAAGTTAATATTAAAAACAAAACAAAAGCAAAGATCTTATCTAACCCTAGCAGTATGAGGAAGTTCCCTGAAGGAATTTACCTGGCTGCGTGTCTCTGGCTCAGACACACCTTCAGGATGGGGGCCTCCCCCGCCCGCCTCTCCATTATCAGTTCCCCATCAGCGCGGGGCGGAGGCGATGCTCTGCGTCTTCCTCCTGAAACCCAGGCCCGGGTCAAGGTGAAGTTGACGTGGGCTAAGCTCGACTGTTGGTGTTGGCCGGAGCAGCCCTGCAGGGGGCTGGGTTTACTCAGGGGCGCGTCCGGTTTTGCTGTCTTCCAGCTCGCCCGTGCTTCGTGGGGGAGTGGAGCCCCTGGAGTGGCTGCGCGGACCAGTGCAAGCCGACCATCCGCGTGCGCAGGCGCTCGGTGCGCCAGGAGCCCCAGAACGGAGGGGCGCCCTGCCCGCCCCTGGAGGAGAGAGCCGGCTGCCTGGAGTACGCCACGCGGCAGGGGCAGGACTGCGCGCACGCCTTCGGTAGGGATGATGGCATGGTTGCGGCCCTTGTGACTTCTTGCCCCCTTCCTTCCATGAAAGGCCATGGCTGTGCAGGGAGAGTTGCACACACTGCGGGGAGCGAGTGGGTTGGGCTGGTCTGCCCAAATTGGATAGGAAGCTCAGGAAATGCTTGAGAAGGAATGAATGGCCAGCTGTACAAATGACTTTCTTTCCCTCCCTGTCCTCTGTGTTTTTAATTCCATGGTCCATTGTCATTGTACACAGACTCAGCAATAAAATAAAACACTCACGTGGCCGTGCATGTATGTGTGTGTGGGATGTTGGCCGGTGCATATCTGTGCCCCAGGATCAAGCACCGGGCCTCACATTTGCTAGGCAGGTGCTCTACCTGTGAGCCACACGCCAGCCTTTTGCATTCACATGGTTTTTAGTGAATCAAACAGGTGATAGAAAACTTTTTGATTAATTGATTATTTTGCGGTACTAGGGATTGAACCAAGGGCACTCTAGTACTAACCTACAACCTCAGTTAACCCCGCCCCTTTTTATTTTTATTTTTAAAACAAGGTCTGTGAACATGTCCAGGTTGGCCTGGAAAGTGAGATCCTCCTGCCTCAGCCTCCTGAGTGGCAGAGGTCACAAACTAGAGGTGTGTGGCACTGTGTCCCACCGTGATAGAGAACTTTAGATAGGATGATGATATTTCACATCCAGTGAAATGATAGGATGATGATATTTCATGTCCAAGTGTCCAGCTAGGATTACTATTTCACCTCCACCCTGAGTCCTTATTCAACAGGAATTAAATTAAAAGTTTATTTGCACATTCTCAAATGTGACAACAATAGAAAAATGATGTTTCTAAACAGTGATACAACGATTTTCTTAAAATACCTGCTTCTGCTCTTAAGCTGACTTGCCTAGGTTTGGTGACTTAAAAAGATCACTATAGTTGTGGAGTAGTAATGAAGGGTCTGGGAGCTGGCTCACTAATAGGATCCCCATGAATCTCACAAAGAATTCAATGAAAATGCCTGTGTGTTGATATGGATTGAACCCAATATGACAGAACACTGACTTCTCAGGATAGTAAAGACTGTATCTGTTTCATAGAAATTTGGAAAATTTTGTGTCAATATAACTTCTCAAGCTGTTTTGTGCCTTTCTTTCTTTCTTTCTTTCTTTCTTTCTTTCTTTCTTCCTTCCTTTCTTTCTCTCTTTCTCTCTTTCTCTCTCTCTCTCTCTCTCTTTCTCTCTCTCTTTCTCTTTCTTTCTTTCTTTCTTTCTCTCTTTCTCTCTTTCTTTCTCTCTTTCTCTCTTTCTCTCTTTCTTTCTCTCTTTCTCTCTTTCTCTCTTTCTTTCTCTCTTTCTCTCTTTCTTTCTTTCTTTCTTTCTTTCTTTCTCTCTTTCTTTCTTTCTTTCTCTCTTTCTTTCTTTCTTTCTCTCTCTCTTTCTTTCTTTCTTTCTCTCTTTCTTTCTTTCTCTCTTTCTTTCTTTCTTTCTTTCTCTCTTTCTTTCTTTCTTTCTCTCTTTCTCTCTCTCTTTCTTTCTTTCTTTCTCTCTTTCTTTCTCTCTTTCTTTCTTTCTTTCTTTCTTTCTCTCTTTCTTTCTTTCTCTCT